TACTCAGTTAAGCTAGATACCTGTAAAAAAAATAAAATATATATATATTTTTTCACCCATGGAGGGCTCTGCGCAGACTGAGCTCTGCAGGGCGGGGGAAGGCTTATAAAGTCTTGCCCCGTCCTGCAATTAGGCTCAGAGCACTCTGGTGGGTTTAAGCCATCCAATCAGAGTGCTCTGACAGGTAAATGAAGAGACTGACAGGTAAGTCTCTACATTTACCTGTCACAGCACTCTGATTGGTTAGCTTGAAATCCACCAATCAGAGTGCTCTGTGTCATTTTACACAGAGTAGGAAAATTCCAAAGAACTTTCCCACGCTGGGTAAAATGACACAGAGCACTCTGATTGGATGGATTTCAAGCCATCCAATCAGAGCGTTATGAGTCATTTTGCACAGCGTGGGAAAGTTTTTTGGAATTTTCCCACGTTGTGTGAAATGACACAGAGCACTCTGATTGGCTTAAACCAACCAATCAGAGTGTTCTTATATTAATTGTAGGGCGGGGCAAGGCTTGCATGCACACATACGCACAGACTGCTGAGTCCATACACACACACACACTGCTGAGTCCATGCACACATACACATACAGACTGCTGAGTCCATACACACACAGAGACTGCTGAGTCCATACACACACACAGACTGCTGAGTCCATACACACACACAGACTGCTGAGTCCATACACACACACAGACTGCCGAGTCCATACACACACACACTGCCGAGTCCATGCACACATACACTGCCGAGTCCATGCACACATACAGACTGCTGAAACATACATACACACACACACTGCTGAGTCCATACACACAGACTGCTATGTCCATTCACACACACAGACTGCTATGTCCATTCACACACATACACACAGACTGCCGAGTCCATACACACACACACAGACTGCCGAGTCCATACACACACACACACACCCATTCCAGCTGGGTCGCACACACACACACACCCACAATTCTGAGGTCCATACACACACACACACTGGACTAAATTCCATACACAGACACACACACACACACACACACCCACAGACTACTGGTCCATACACGAACACACACACACACCCCCACAGACTGCACAGGTCCATACACACACACACACACACACACAGACTGCTGAGTCCATACACACACAGAGACTGCTGAGTCCATACACACACACACACAGACTGCCATGTCCATACACACACACACACACACACACCCACAGACTACTGAGTCCATACACACACACACACACACACACAGACTGCTGAGTCCATACACACACAGACTATGTCCATACACACACACACAGACTGCTGAGTCTATACACACACAGACTGCTGAGTCCATACACACACAGACTATGTCCATACACACACACACAGACTGCTGAGTCTATACACACACAGACTGCTGAGTCTATACACACACACAGACTGCTGAGTCTATACACACACACAGACTGCTATGTCCATACACACACACACACAGACTGCTATGTCCATACACACAGACTGCTGAGTCCATACACACAGAAATAAACAGACTGCTGAGTCCATACACACACACTGCTGAGTCCATACATACATACACACACACACTGCTATGTCCATACACACACACACAGACTGCTATGTCCATACACACACACAGACTGCTATGTCCATGCACACACACTGCTGAGTCCATGCACACACACACACACACACTGCTGAGTCCATACATACATACACACACCAAGAATACCTGTCACTGGAGGCTGTTGCTGGGGGTCAGACAGCCATATTCTGCAGCAGCAAGGTCTGCTGCTTTACGGCGGGGCTTGGTTTGGGGGCGTGGCCTTGCCGGGGAGCCTGTCAATGCTCTGTCAAGTCCCAGCATCTCTGCACAAACAGCACCCAGCGCTGCTCTGGCCAGACAGTGCAGCATTCCCTCGGGCTGTAACAGACAGACACACACACTGTTACAGTCCGAGGGAATAGAATTTAAGAAAATGGCCAGCAAGTTGCCGGCATTTGGGGGGGCCCAGCATGATGTAGGGGGGGCTATGCCCCCTCCCCCCAGTGACGCCACTGCATACATACACACATATATTATATATATATATATATATATATATATTACATATATGTAACTTCATTCTAAGTGTATTTTAATACTAATATATATACTTATATGAGCATTGAAATACACTACGTATGATGTTTATACACATATATATATATATATATATATACATACATATATATACACACACACACACACACACACACACACACAGACTGCTATGTCGATTCACACACACAGACTGCTATGTCGATTCACACACACATACTGCTATGTCCATACACACAGACTGCCGAGTCCATACACACACATACACACAGACTGCTGAGTCCATACACACACACAGACTGCTATGTCCATACACACACACAGACTGCTGAGTCCATACACACACACACTGCTGAGTCCATACACACACACACTGCTGAGTCCATACACACACACACTGCTGAGTCCATGCACACATACAGACTGCTGAGTCCATGCACACATACAGACTGCTGAAACATACATACACACACACACACACTGCGGAGTCCATACACACAGACTGCTATGTCCATTCACACACACAGACTGCTTTATCCATTCACACACATACACACAGACTGCCTTATCCATTCACACACATACACACAGACTGCCTTATCCATTCACACACATACACACAGACTGCCGAGTCCATACACACACACAGACTGCTATGTCCATACACACACCCACAGACTACTGAGTCCATACACACACACACACACAGACTGCTGAGTCCATACACACACAGAGACTGCTGAGTCCATACACACACAGAGACTGCTGAGTCCATACACACACACAGAGACTGCTGAGTCCATACACACACACAGAGACTGCTGAGTCCATACACACACACACACACAGACTGCCATGTCCATACACACACACACACACACACACACACAGACTGCCATGTCCATACACACACAGACTGCCATGTCCACACACACACACACTGCGGAGTCCATACACACTGCTGAGTCCATACACACACACTGCTGAGTCCATACACACACACTGCTGAGTCCATACACACACAGACTGCTATGTCCATACACACACAGACTGCTATGTCCATTCACACACACAGACTGCTATGTCCATTCACACACACAGACTGCTATGTCCATTCACACACACAGACTGCTATGTCCATACACACACACAGACTGCTATGTCCATACACACACACAGACTGCTATGTCCATACACACACACAGACTGCTATGTCCATACACACACGAACTGCTATGTCCATTCACACACAGACTGCTGCTGTCCATTTCACACACACAGACTGCTGTCCATTCCACACACACAGACTGCTATGTCCATTTCACACACACACAGACTGCTTTATGTCCATTCCACACACACAGGTATGTCCATACACACACACAGACTGCTATGTCCATACACACACACACAGACTGCTATGTCCATACACACACACACAGACTGCTATGTCCATACACACAGACACACACACACACACACAGACTGCTATGTCCATACACACACACACACACACTGCTATGTCCATACACACACACACACACACACACACAGACTGCTATGTCCATTCACACACACAGACTGCTATGTCCATACACACACACACACTGCTATATCCATACACACACACAGACTGCTATATCCATACACACACACACACACAGACTGCTATGTCCATACACACACACACACACAGACTATGTCCATACACACAGACACAGACTGCTATGTCCATACACACAGACACAGACTGCTATATCCATACACACACACACACACACACAGACTGCTATGTCCATACACACACAGACTATGTCCATACACACAGACACAGACTGCTATGTCCATACACACAGACACAGACTGCTATGTCCATACACACACACAGACTATGTCCATACACACAGACTGCTGAGTCCATACACACACACTGCTGAGTCCATACACACACACTGCTGAGTCCATACATACATACACACACCAAGAATACCTGTCACTGGAGGCTGTTGCTGGGGGTCAGACAGCCATATTCTGCAGCAGCAAGGTCTGCTGCTTTACGGCGGGGCTTGGTTTGGGGGCATGGCCTTGCCGGGGAGCCTGTCAATGCTCTCTCCAGTCCCAGCATCTCTACACAAACAGCACCCAGCGCTGCTCTGGCCAGACTGTGCAGCATTCCCTCGGGCTGTAACAGACACACACACACACTGTTACAGTCCGAAGAATTTAAGAACATGGCCAGCAAGTTGCCGGCATTTGGGGGGCCCAGCATGATGTAGGGGGGGCTATGCCCCCTCCCCCCAGTGACGCCACTGCATGCATACACACACTATATATATATATATATATATATATATATATATATATATATATTTTACATATATGTAACTTCATTCTAAGTGTATTTTAATACTAATATATGTACTTATATGAGCATTGAAATACACTACGTATGATGTTTATACACATATATACATACACACACACATATATATATATATATATATATATATATATATATATACATACACACACACACACACACACATACACACACAATTTATTTTAACATGTTTAATAACTTTTCTTCCCACCAGCAGGGGGACTGACAGCTCAGACAGTCCCCCTGCAGGCAGATCCACAGACAGCTATAGGTGGCCATGTGATGCTCTTTGAGAGCGATCACATGGCCCCCTGGGGCATGATTTGCTGGGGAGGGCTGCCTGGGCTGTCAGGCAGCCCTCCCGAAGAGGATCGCAGCGGAGGTAAGTAAATTTTTGCTCCTGAGGCTGCAAGCCGTTACGGCGTTCTATGCCGCCACAAGGGCTTTAAATCCCATTTAAATGGGGACGGCATAGAACGCCGTAATAGCGTTAAGGGGTTAAACATTCCTTCTTGTAAAGGAAATGGTAGGTTTGTCTGTCTACACTGGAAGTAGCCTTATTCTAAGTAACAATGGCATTTTAGTTAATTGATAAATCATGTTTACGTATGCGTTTAATTCATTATTTACACATAAAAAGAGCACACAATTTTCACTTGTACACAGACCACGATTTATTGTGATACAAGTTATTTCAACAAAACCAGTAATGAAATAAAATAAAGAACTTTATTACCACAGTTCAACAATTATAGCCAAACCACTGAATTAGCTTAATAAATATTTTGTTGCGCACAAAAGTAATGTGGAAGAACTCGATAGGTGTTGGTAAGGACACCAGCAGTTAAGGTTACTGCAAGCTTTTTTTTTTTTTTTTTTTAATGCAGCTACTATTTGAACAATGCTAAAAAGCAATATCCTTAGCGAAGCACTGTAAAGATTTACCATGAGTGGAGCTATCCAAAAGGAGTGTTGCAGTTTTGCATTATATATATAATTTACACACTTTTATCTAAATTACTGCAAATTTGTGCTATTTCACCAATACATTGTATTAAATTTAAAAGACTGGGGAAAGTATTGGCAGAGTACATTTTAATCAACTATAACAGGCAATGCGATTTAACTTATTTCGGCAGTTTGGTAAAGTTACCCTAAAGATTCCCTTAAGCCAACCAGACCACTTTATTTCAATGAAGTGATCTGGATGCAGTGGCCCTGTAATTTTGACCCCCTAATGTAAACCATTGCCATTTTGTAGAATCTGTAATGATCACATTCAACGTTTAAAGCAGCTTATTGTGGCTGTCTTCCATACAACCACAAGAAGCCTATTTAATCTTGAGGACTTCATAAAGAACCGAGTTAAACTCAGTCATGTAACAATCGAGGTCCACAAGGACGTCAAATGCAGTTCATAGGAAAGCACTGAATTAAATACTTTCCTATGAGAAGCCTTTAAAGGGAAATTCACGCCTATATATCACGTCCCTAATACTAGTCTATGAGGAGCATTGGTTTAAACGAATGCCTGGGATGTAACACCTCCACATTAATGCCATTGGAGGCAGAGCTGGCAGCAGCACTGAGGTAGTGTCTGTGCTGCAGAAAAGTTAAATTCAACAGATTTTACTAATTTTATTACACGTTAGGAAGGTGGGGTGCACTAATTTGAATATGGACATGGGCATTATAACATTAGGAATACGTTTGTATTCTTAATGCAATAGTAACAAAAGAAAAAAGAGAAAATAAGAGGATTTCCGAGTATCAAAAAAGTAATGAAACAACGGTATTAAAATAGTGATGCTGGTATATAAGTGGAACGATTCCTAATTCAGTCAGGATATGGCTTAACAAATAGTTAAAACTTAGCCTTTATTAAATACCAACTAAAAGGTGGGAATTGCAAAATAAAATAAACTTCCACCATAAATGAAAAACCACACAAACGAAAATGGATATATAAACCACAAATGGAAGGTCTACTAAATGTAGAAAAATAGCCTACCTACATTCCTAAAGAATAAAAGGAAATATAGAGTAGAAAGAGTAGGTCTGCTACATGTGGTAAAGTAGCATTACCTACAGACCTCCTAAATAGATGTAATCCAAAGAGGTTTTTGTATCTAAAACTTTAAAAAAAAAAAAAAAAAACAGTGGTTCCCAAACTTATGTTCAAGGTGCCATTAATATTTCAGTAATTTTCCAAGGCACCCCAAGTCAAAAGTTCTAGGTTTTATATCTGTACAGCGCTGCGGCATTTACTGCGGCTATAGTGTAAAGTACAGTGTTGGTGTTTGAAGGGGTGCTTGTATATAGTGGTGTTTTAATACAGGGAATTGTATGTAGAAACATAGAATGTGACGGCAGATAAGAACCATTCGGCCCATCTAGTCTGCCCAAGTAATGTAATGTTTGTGTTTGATTGCAGGGGTGTGTCTGAATGTAATGTTCACTTTTAAATGTAGATGTTCATTTGTGTGAAGTATGTGTTTGTATATTTTTTTAGTTTGAATGCAGGGGTGTGTATGTAATATTTGAGTTAGATTGCAGCAGTGTGCTTGTATGTTGAGCTGGTGTTTGACTGCTTGGTTGTATGCACATACATACATACACACAAATCCATATAGACACGACACACACAAACATTGATACATGCCCACACCATGACACAGATACACACGCTGACTACAGATGTGTGCACAGACCCAGAAGCACACTAACATACATATATACATACATACATACATATATATATATATATATATATACATATACATATACATATATACACACACACACTGTGATAAAGTGCAGGGTGAGATCGGTGAAGGAATCTATATTTCCCCCTAGATTTATAGAGGCATAGAACATTTAACCCCAGGGGAGTACATGTTGTGTGCAACAACAAAAAATTATGTTTAGTTATGGGCCCTTGGGGTGGAGCATTTGGAGAGCAAGGTGGGCCTGTGCTCCACTCCGTTGTTTATTGTTTTTTTGAGAGACATAAGTCCAGACCTGGTAGTGGGCTGGTCTCCAACCTATTGCTCAGCTGGAGGCAATCAGATACAGCAGTAGGAATAAAATCCCTCCCTGCTAGGCAAGTAGGGGGATTGCTGGTTTCCCCCTGGAAGCAGATAGGATAGACGCTGTTGTATCCTGTGAGAGAGTTGGAAAGCAGCAGGCTGACTTGGAGCAATGGAAGTGCAGAGAGTCAAGGTTACTGAGCACTGAAGTACAGGAAAAGTGAACATGGAACAAATGTTTTGTTATTTTAGAACCCTTGGTAGATCAGGAATAATAAGCTAGGATTTGATTAAAATGAAATCTGTTATGTTATTTTGTGTTGTGTTGCTGCCGCCTGAAAGGACTTTTAAATAAAGGGCCTGAATTGAATTGCAACCAAAAGACTGCGCATGTTGTTTTTACCCTAGAGGACCGTGGAACTGGCAAACAAGGACCCCAATACACACAAGTGATTTTTTTTTTTTATATATCTCCAGCCACCCTCCTGTCAGCTTACCTTATGTGCCAGGAGGGTGGTTTTGAGCTGGAAACCCACTGAAACTAAACTGTGGTGAGAAGTAGGACTAGACAGTTTCAAATGCTACAATGTTGCAATAGGGAATAACACAATATAAGCTAAGAAATGTAGCAAGTAAGATGACTAATCAAATAGCTATACTGAAATAAGATAAAGCTGTAAAATCTCGCAGAAATCTGCAGTAATGGCTGCTAAATATTCCCTAATGTGCCTTTGAGGGCACTCCTTAGTAAAAGACTGTCCCTAGTATACAACCCTATTATTTTGAGCACTTGCATACTAGGGACAGACTTTTACCAAGGGTTGTCCTCTAAGGCACATTAGGGAATATTTAGCAGCCGTTACTGCAGGTTTTAGAAGCCGATTTCTGTGAAATTTTTCAGCTTTATCCTATTTCAGTATAGCTATTTGATTCCATTTTTGTTTGTTTTTTTTTTTTTATTTATGGTGTAAGTTTATTTCACTTTGCATACCCCACCTTTTATCTAATACTTAGTAAAGGCCACGTTTTAACTATTTGCTCAGCCATATCCTGACTGAAGTGGGTATTGTTCCACTTATACACCCAGCATCACTATTTTAATACCGCTGTTTCATTACTTTTTTGATACTCAGAAATCCTCTTATTTCTTTTGTTATTTATTCCATAGTTTCCACCCATTTTAGGAGGTTTTCTCTGTATCAGCTTCCCAGTTTCTCTTTTTTTCTTAGTGCAATAGTGCTCATTTAATTTACACTACAGCTGTCAGTGACTTTGTCACTAAAGGAAGCATAATGTGCCAGATACCCCGGCTATGGACCTTACGAGAAAAGGATATACATTTGCACACATATGACCTATGCCTTACACAGGAAACCTCTGGCCAGCCTTTAATGGTTTTAGACTTAAAGCAACCGTAATTCACCTTTGCCCTCGATGACATACATTTTCTATTAAATCAGCATGTTATATTACTGAATTCACAAAGTAAACATTTTATAAAAATATGGTCAGTTTTACTTTCTACATGTTTATGTACACAAACATTTGTATACCAATATTTGGGTACCTCCATGTGCATCTGCCCACTCGTGCTGTGAGACAGAATCCTATTGATTTGCAAGTATGGTACTTTTTATAGCAATATGCATTTACATAAATGGCCATCCTGGCTGCTGCATTATTTTACTTTGAAAACATAAGTTACAAAAGGTGGCTGCCAACAAAATAAAAACTTTATGCAATCTGCTTCTGTATAGCGCTGTGTCTGAATCTATTTATTCATGAGTGCTCAAGTTTTCATAAAATACATAAAAGAAAAGTAGGGACTACTTTTCCTCCTGTATAGCAGTTCTATAGGCAAACTGGACAAATAGAGCTTAAAGATTCTGTTTCAGTTCCCAATCTATGAAGAAATTTACTCATAACAGGGCCACGTGACTGGATATTCCTGCCACTGTGAAACAATATTAGAAGTAAGGAAACACGAAATAATGCTAAAAAGGCAGCCACCTTGTTACACTAGCTATTTGCATTAGAGATTGCTTTACTGAGACAAAAGCCAGCTAAGGGATTCATAAATTAGAAAACCACTGAAATCTAGATATAACTTGGTGACTCCTTAATTTTAAAATATTTCCAATCTAAAGAACTCAGTAGAAAGTCAAAGGCACACCACATCCCCATATTCAAGGTTGCCTTATGTTCTGATATTCATGCATTCCATTTTTAGTCATTACAGATTTTACACATTAAAGCGGCTAGAATAAAATACTGTTCCCAGCAACCATATTTAAAAAAATAAATAAAAATGTGCATTTACAAAAAAAATATAAATAAAATTCGGTCAATTTTTTTTTCTTTTTTAAAATTTTTACCACGCAGGAAGATCTAATGATTTTCTATAAAAATGTCAGTGACTGTTGATATTATGTGATATTTCAATATTCCACATGTGTATATATATATATTACTTAATATGTATACACAGGATAACATTTTTGTTCAATCTTCTTGCTCATCACTTTACTATGGTGAATGATGAATCAATAACGGGTTAAAAAGACATAGAGAAGCACAGGGTAAAACCACAACTTAAAAATGTAAAATTGAATGAATCACCACACAAGACTCATCTCTGAGCTCTATTGTGTGATGTCAACTGGGGAACATGTAACTTTATGCCCACGTCCCTGCTTTAATACATAATGATTCTAAATAAACGCATGTGTTTTACTCTTCAAATTAAGCATATGATTGTCAATTATTGATTGAAATGGAAGAAACTTTATTTCTCTGCTGCCTTAGTTAGCACAATGTGACATGAAAACTGTATCAGACTATTTTTAAACTGAAAGCTTTGAAAACAAGCTACAGGTTCATGTCACCAGGAGGTCATAAAAAGGATTTAAAACCTTCCAATAGCACAAATAAAAATGTGATGAATAATACCCAGAAGGAGAGGAAAATAGATACAATTTTCGGTCAGTTATTAGAGTTCTTCTAATTTAAGAGTATACAATTTCTTATGGCAACTCAGTTTTGTGCCAACATAGTTTTTCAAATTTGCAATGTTGACCGAAAATGTTGATGTCAGCACAACGCAGTACGTAGTGAATGGCTACCAGTGTATGAATTGCTTCTGTTTTACCTGTGTATTATGTTCACCATAGTCTGTGGAAGAGTAGATATGGAATATCTCACTTGAAAAAATACAAAGGAAGGGAGACAATTATTGGATCATTGGTCATTAAAATAGTTAGATCTGTGTTTGATAATACATAAACTCACAAAAAAAAACAAAAAACAAGACTGCTCTGTGAAACAGGGCCAAATTACATGCACTAGTTAATCTAGCTAGCCTCAGAGGTTAATTTATTCATAGCGAGTGAAGTTCCATTAAAAATAAAAATAAACACATTGTATTAATCTGGAAAATACTCTTTCAAGCCTGCCACTTGCCCAAAAACAGGATTAAGATTTCCAAATGATAATTTTATAAAAACAAACTAAAAAATAAACAAACCAAAAAGCGTTTTCTAGGATATAAGACTAACATAATTCGTTTGAGAGGCCCAAGTCAGTTCAGACCTCATAGAAATCCACATGTATTGGTAAATTCATTGTATATTTATACAAAACAGCAATATTTTATTTAGTTTCACAAAGAATCTGTGAAAGGCAGTGAACTCAGAGCCCTGCATTGTCCATCTGCTTTAATTACAGTTTTCCTTAGCATGCAAAATAAAAGATGCAGTTCCTCTTGGGAACACAATTTTTATCGCAATGACTGCTTATAACGAGTTCAATCACTATCACTGGTGCTTATTATCATGTACTTAAAAGCCATGCCAGAGGACCTGGAATATGGCATCTCGTGCTATACCAGGTAAACTAAAAATATTATTAACAATAGTAAACTGGTGATGTAAGCGGAAGTGAACTCTAGTCAACTTTCAGACAATGAGGGAGTTTGACAAAATCCTAATAATTAAAACAAAATTGTCCATTTCACTCACATCCCTGCTGCAGTCAGAAGTGGTTTGTGTTGATTATGTGTGGTATGTCAATGAATGATTTAACTCATTGTACATAACACTGCAAAACTCCGTAATGTGGACCAAGATCATAACCAAGTGTATTTTACTGCGTAATCTACCCCAACCCAGCTCTCCTCCTTCCTAAACTCTACTCCATTCCCCTTGCCACCTCCTTTAAAAGAAGTGTTGGGAAAAACACTAGGAAAAAGAATTCACTCTGTACGAAGTATAATGTGGATGCCAGAATCTGTGAATACGGGGCCACTCATTTCTCCAGGACGCAGGGCAAAAGATGCATCTTCAAAGGGTTTTTGCATGTCACCTGTAGAAGAGAAAAATTACTTAGTTGACAAGGAAGTGGAGGAAAAGCGTTTCAAAGAAAACAATCTAGAATTAAAATATAATATAAAACATGGCCCACAGGTATAATATTAGTATTTAGTTTATTAGCAGGGCTTTTGACTTTAATTTATCTGGAAATCATTGAGAATTAAAACAATTTTTCAAATTTAAATCCAAAGTAGCTGGACTCGAGACAGCTGTATTGGAGATTGTCCCAGTTTGACTAGTTTGGCTTTAAAATTCACTTTAGAGTATAACCCTGAAAGTCTGACTATCATCCATTTGCTAGATATTGTTTGGCACTCTGGATGTTGTGGACTAAAATTCCCTTGATGGTTTGCTAATATTAAGAGCATTATGTGAGATGCAGTGCACAAGGTTGCCTACTCCTGGCCTAAACAGTGAAATAATTTTCCAAAGTACAACACGATTTTATTATTTTTTTATTGGATCATTAAAGGCTGTGTTTACATTAAAGTGCCTGTAGAGACACAAACTCTATACACACCAGAACTACAACATTAAGCTGTCCCTTTAAAGTTTGTCATGGCATTTTTAGGCATTTGCCAGAGACCACTAGAATGCAACTGAACAAAAATAAACGCACTCACTACCTCAGAGCACAATAACCACTACAACAATCTAAAGGTTATGGTGCCTAGAGTGTCTTTCTATATAATATTATTGATAAAAGAGAAGATAGCTGCTCTTTAGCAAAAACAAATTGTAAAAATAAACCAAATTTTCTTTCATAGACAAATATAAAAAAAAATGCTGGGTGTAATTTCTCCTCATACTAAAACATCAGAACCATGGGTTGGGTGCAAATGCAAATTACTTTCCCCTCACTGAAACTTGATAGTCTGCTGGACACTGTATATAATTTGCTTCACCTTTTAAAAAACAAAACAAAAAAAAAAAACCACTGTATGCAAAGGTAAATATGTACTGGTTACTGGTTACAGAATTTAGTGTTACGGTGGCTTTGTTTGCTGGCTGGTAGATACACAGGTATTTGGAAGCATCCACAGTGGATGTGTACTGCATGAGTTGGCAGAAACGTAATACATACATTTATAAATTGACTTATGTGCTAGCAATTTTACCAGCATAAAGATAGCATGCATACCTATCTAGAGGAACATACCTTTCAAAGAAATATAGAATATGACGGCAGATAAGAACCATTCAGCCCATCTAGTCTGCCCAATTTTCTAAATAAATACTTTCATTAGGCCTTATCTTACAACTAGGATTGCCTTATGTCTATCCCACACAAGTTTAAACTCCCTCACTGTGTTAACCTCTACAACTTCAGCTGGAAGGCTATTGCATGCATCCACTACCCTCTCGGTAAAGTAATACTTCCTGATATTCTTTTTAAACCTTTGCCCCTCTAATTTAAGACTATGTCCTCTTGTTGTGGTAGTTTCTTATTTTAAATATAGTCTCCTCTTTTACTGTGTTGATTCCCTTTATGTATTTAAATGTTTCTATCATATGTCCCCCGTCTTGTCTTTCCTCCAAGCTATACATGTTAAGTTCCTTTAACATTTTCTTGTAAGTTTTATTCTGTAATCTACGAAGCAATTTTGTAGCCCTTCTTTGAACTCTCTCCAAAGGATCAATATCCTTCTGAAGATATGGTTTCCAGTACTGTGTACAATACTCCAAGTGAGGTCTCATCAGTGTTCTTTGTACAATGGCACGAGCACTTCCCTCTTTCTACTGCTAATACCGCTCCCTAAACAACTAAGCATTCTGCTAGCATTTCCTGCTGCTCTATTACATTGTCTGTCTAACTTTAAGTCATCTGAAATAATTACGCCTAAATTCCTTTCCTCAGATGTTGAGGTTAGTAGTGTACCAATTATTCTATACTCTGCCCTTGGGTTTTTACGTCCAAGATGCAATATCTTGCACTTATCCATATTAAATGTCAGTTGCCACAGCTCTGACCATTTTTCTAGTTTTCCATTCACATGCTTTATTAATGAAAATAAAAGAAAGAAAACAGTATAGACATATGTACTTGAAGTTCCTCACTAACAATGTTCCTTAGTAAACGAGTGATTTTGTTAATTTCAGGAGGTAAGTGCTCTAAGGAAATCACAACTTGTTTCATTGACTTTCTAACTAAAGAGGAGACAGCTTGTAAATATACCTCTTCCAAAACTGCCGAGATCTCCTCCAGCCTTTGCAGAACTGCAATCACTGAACTGAGAGGCCAATGCTTCAAAATCTTCATCCCCAGATTTGATCTTTTGAATGTAACCTACAAGAAAACACATGTTGAAATAACTAAATGTACGCCTCAAAGTACTTTTTTGTTTTCTAAGCTATTTCAGCGGCACTGATAAGAGTAAAAACAAACTTCATAAATTGCATGACTTTGAGAGTAATATCCTTTTTTCAGCATAGACCAGATCAAACGGAACGTTCAGATGCCATCTTACCATGGGTTAAACTGTTTTCCACCGGTTTTACCTCAAAGGTGGCCCTTTGACACCAGACACTGTTGTCCTCTGCTTTTTATCAGGAAGCCAGAGGTAGTTCTTTAACATCAGTTGAAGGTGTAATGAAGTGGGAGTGTTTTTAATCATGCTGAGCACTGCATGCCTTAGCCTTTTAAAAGTGGACTTGTTATTGCTTGGCTTTGGAACAACAGTATTTTAGTTAAATGATCACAGATTCAATAGACAGTCTACTGAGACCAAGGATTTGCAATTATAATCAGCCAATGTCTGGGCAGGTAGTGTTTTTTTTTTTTGGTTTGTTTTCTTTACCACCTCAAATTTAACAAAGGCACTGGCTGTGCCAAGACAGAATAGGTCGCTGGCTACAAGGATGGCAGGTGCCTACTCTGACCAAATGTACACGGTTTGTTTTGGCGGGTGGCAAGGAAGTCCAGACCTACATTTGCTGTGACTGCATCACTCTGGCCCAGGCATTACTAGAGGGCGAGCAAGGAAGCTATGCAGGCACTTCATAAAGATCAGAGCAGCTTCCCAATGGACCCCAGGAAGATCCACTCCATCTATCCCAAACGTAGGGAAAAAAATAAATGAATGTGTAAGTCAGATTGTATATCTGATAGTGGGTATGTATGTGCCTGACAGTGTGTATTGTGGGAAAGATTTTTATCTACATATGTGTAGATTATGCACCTACAGTCTCAATTATCTGCCAGATAGGAGTTAAAGGGACACTATACTTACCAGAACAAATACAGCTTATCGTATTAAGGTTAACATGGGCCAAATAAATAAGGTTTAAGTTTATGTGGGCCGCAAGACCCCCCAAAAAACTTCAGTTTTCATAGACACTTAGGCTTATTGCAGTATAAAAAAAAGTTGCCTGACACTGGACATCCTCACACTCGTAGGGCTTTAAAGCAAACAAAAGAGCGAATTTATTTTAAGGAAATATGTATCTGCATATAACCAATGTTTCAGTACAACTACCATGACATATTAAGAAAAGTTTGGTAATGGGAATGAAATGGTGAATGTATGTTGTTGCACAGCTGTAAAATACAAATTACGTTATCTTGTTGATTTTGAAGTCCTATCAGTTCAGTGGCGGACTGACCACTCGGTCAGTTGGGTCATGGGCTGAGGCAGTCAGGGGCCTGGCTGACTGAACAGCCATGTGCTCTCTCTTGCTGGTGAGATCAGTGATCTCTCCAGCCAGAGAAGAAAAATTGCACATCAAGCCCCTTTAGAGACCAGGCAGCAATTTTGCTGTGTACCAGGTCTCCTCCATCCTTTTCCTGTGCGGAGCTCTGGTGTGAGGGGAGGAGGTGGGGCCCAAGGGAAGTTACATCACTTCCTGCCCCCTCCTCTCCTTCCTCAGCCCCAGGCCCCCCCTCCCCCCACCCCCATCTCTATCAGCACCCACTTCACCCATCTCCCCCCCCCCTCTACAGCCCACATCTGCCCTCTTCCACTCAGCTCAGCCAACATCTACCTACATCTCCCCCCCAGGCTTCCCTTTACTCACCCTCAGTCCCTATCTCCCTCAGAGTCCACCTCAGCCCTTATCCCCCACTCCACCCAGCTCAGCCCCATTTCCCCTTTCACCCACCACAGCCCCTATTTCATCCTGTACCCACCTCAGAACCTCTCTCTCTCTCTAGACCGACTGTAGCCCCTATACCTTCCAGCACCCAGTATAGCCTCCAATCACTGGTGCATCCACTACAGCTCATATCCACACACACACACTGCAGACACTATCCACATGCACAGACAAACTGCAGACTTTAGATCCACCACAAAGTAGAGCCTCTGTTATCCAAACACTCACTACAGCCCCAAATACCCTGTCCAGACGCCTACTATGGTCCCTATCCCACAAACATACAACAGGACGTACCACACACACTGCAATACAACCAGCCATCTCCATCCACATACTACACTGCAAAGAAACTCATCCACACATACAAACCCACCAGGAGCATCACTGTATGTACACAATCCCACATGCAGCCTCCCCACCATTGCAATACTACATACAGCCCCACACACACACACACACACACACACAATTATTACAACCATTTATATAGTGCCAACAAATTCTTCAGCGCAGTACAATAGGTAAAAGAATACAAACAATTCTAACACATGATGACATACAGGAATACATCACAAGCAGCATCCCACACACTGAACCCCACTAATAGCCTACAAACACGAAGGAGTAAAGGTAAGAAACAACTTTTAAACCCCTACAGGTTTAAAAGAAACAAGAGTTATTTAACTCCTAAAAGGCAGAGAATTTAGAAAATTGCAGGGGCATAATCATTATGGCAAAACGGCTTCATTAAGCTCAAGTTGTTTGGATGATTAGAGTGTCCTTTCAACTGAAAGCTAGACGCTATACCAGATTTCAATACGATTCAGACTGCAAAGCCATGTCCCTTGGCACTGGGTGAGGCTCCGCCTACTCTCCTCCCCAGCTGACGTCAGCTGGCTGGGGAGACCTAATGCGCATGCTCGGCAATGGCCCCGCACACGCACTAGACCTCCCCATAGGAAAGCATTATTCAATGCTTTCCTATGGGGAGTTCGGAGACGCTGGAGGTCCTCACATAGTGTGAAGACGTCCAGCGTCGTATAACACACGTGTTCTAAGAATAAGGAAGTCCCTCTAGTGGCTGTCTGATAGACAGCCACTAGAGGAGGACTTAACCCTGCACGGTAAATTTTGCAGTTTATGAAAACTGCAATAACTACACTTGCAGGGTTAAGGGTAGTGGGCTTTGCACCCAGACCACTCCAATGAGCAGAAGTTGTCTGGGTGACTGGAGTGTGCCTTTAAGCAGAATCTCCACAACACATTGAAAATAAGATACAGATTTTAACAGACTATTCAATTATTCACCTTGCATGTAATTAAGGGAAAATATTTGTAAATTCCCTAGCACAATATAAACAAAACAAAAATGTAATGTAGAGGAAAAGTTGCTAAAGAGGAGCACAAATTCCAGTGTTGCATACAACTGTAAATGAAGAGCACACTCATAAGGGAATATTAAACCACTAAACCTAGTTGTATGTTCTTTTACCCACCATTAATGAGTTCTAGTGCCTCATCCTTGCTGCGTGTTATTTTCTCCTGTCTCCAGGATGAAGGGCGCCTCGATTGACTATGCTTCACAAGCAGATGAGAACACCGAACTTTTGATGACTCTCCTTGTCCATTTTTCCCACCACAGCTTGGTCGTTCCCATTGGCTAGCATTAGTCATGTGGTTGAAATAATAAACACGCCCTAAGGAAAAATGAATAGTTACATTATTTAAAGTCCTTTAACCGACTTTTCTACAATTTTGATAAACCCACCTCTTGAGGACATTACAAATTTAAACTGTAAAAAGAACACTACTTGCAAGCTTACCCTTTAGTTGTGGTTACAGGTGATAGAAAGAATAGAAAGTCAATGCAACAAGATAGAACAACAATAAACTACAATAGCTATTACAATGTTTCTTAAACAAGACCTCAAGATTCAAAGAATTTCTAAATTGAGGGAATTTCTACTTTTTTATTCTGCAAGAGATCTGGACCCTAAAACACTAGTGGGACTTGTGTGAGAAGCAATGAGCTAAACAGTATTCAGTTTGACATGAATCTACCTTATATACTGAATATACCATTTATTAATTAAAAATATATAGCTATAAAGACCTTCAGTCTAGCGCTGCAATGTCTTCTTAAAGGACTACTATAGGCACCCAGACCACTTCAGCTTTATGAAGTGGTCTGGGTGCCAGGTCCATCTAGGATTAATCCTGCCTGCTGTAAACATAGCAGTTTCAGAGAAACTGCTATGTTTACATTTGGGTTAATTCAGCCTCTAGTGGCTGACTCATTGACAGCCGCTTGCCGCTAGATGCGCTTCCGCGCTTCTCACTGTGATTTTCACAGTGAGAAGACGTCAGCGTCCATAGGAAAGCATTGAGAATGCTTTCCTATGGACTGGCTGAATGCGCACGTGGCTCTTGCCGTGCATGCACATTGAGCCGATGACAGCCAAAGGAGGAGGAGAGTCCCCAGCGCCGAGGGAGCCCAGCTCTGGAGAAAGGTGAGTGTTTAACCTCCTTCTTCTCCATTCAGCCTGGCGGGAGTGGGACCGTGAGGGTGGGGGCACCCTCAGGGCACTATAGTGCCAGGAAAACGAGTTTGTTTTCCTGGCACTATAGTGGTCCTTTAATAGGCAATACTCTACTATAACACTTATCTCCGGTCCACCAGTGTTTCACCTGCTTGCTCATGTAATTTCCCCAAGCAAGCAAACCTCCTCCATAATGCCAGAGCCTGAATAGAGTGTCAGTATACTCCCTAACCAGTGACAGCTGGGAAGTACCAATAGTAACCACAAAAGCATGTACAATAATGACTATAGTTGGAGCAGAAAGACTTCCTGCTACAAACCAGAGGTCTATGTCAAAAGTGATTTGCAGATGAAAATAAAATAGGGTTGTTAGGCTGTGCTATGCTGTCCTGCAAAAGGAGGGCTTTATAGTGCTGTTAATAGCATGTCGTAACAATTGAGCTCTCCTGGGAGCCAGGATACCTGCCGGACTGTGCCCTCAGGCAGATCCCCAAACATGAAAATAATAATAATAATGAAAATTAATTATTGCACAATTGTAATATATATATATATATATATATATATATATATATATATATACGTTCATATTTTTCAAGTTTATCCATCAATACATTAATATCAAAATACACACAGAATGAATATACACTATATATATATATATATATATATATATATATATATATATATATATATATATATATATATATATGTCAATTCTATGTGTATACTATGTGTATTATTTTTACACAATGCTATTTATCAATTATATAGTGAGGGTACAGCCTGCCAACCAAAGCAGAAAGTCAAGATTTCATTTGCAAGTTCTATATTTAACCCAGTAACTTTACAAAACAGCACGAAATCTGTACATGGACAGCAACTTTATACTCGCGGGACATCACTGCATACAAATATGTGTTTTATTGTAGTAGAATCTAACAGTATGATGACATTCATAGTTAAAATGTCATTAAGAACTTGGAAAATAATTTACTAATTTCTCAAATTTATTCAGATTTAACAAATTATATTCATTATATAAATATCTGATGTGAAATTTAATGAAATTTAAAAAGCCCCATTTCTCCATAACAAATGATATGTAATAAGTGTAGGAGCAAATTATGTTTGAACAGACATAGGTCTAAAATTCTAGGTTTTGTTTTGCTGAGTACAATTGCCTCGCTCTTTAAAAGGGTTAAACAAAAGCGTTTTTTCTGACACTATAGTGCCCTGCAGGTGCCCCCACCCGCTGGGCATGAAGGGGTTAAAACCCCTTCAGCAGCTTACCTTTATCCAGCGCCGGGCTCCCTTGGCGCTGGTGACCTCTCCTACCATCCAACGTCAACTCCCTAGTGGAGCAGAATGCACATGCACAATGCTTTCTTTTGGACGCTCTGCTCAATGGATGCAAAATTTGCATCCAGCATCGCAGATGCGCCTCTAGTGGCTGTCAGGAAGACAGCCACTAGAGGCTGGATTAACCCCAAATGTAAACTGCTATGTTTACATCTGAAGGGTTAAAACTTGAAGGGCCTGGCACCCAGACCACTTCATTGAGCTGAAGTGGTCTGGGTGACTATATAGTGTCCCTTTAAATATTTTTTCTACCAATTTACACATTTGTAAGCAATTCCACTAGCACTTTTTATAGACGATATTTTATGTTCGACAAAAGAGCATAACTTATGTATACCATGAGAGTTACAAGTTAAAGAGATTTTAAACATTAAACCCACTTCATCTTAATTAAATGGTTCTGGTGTATAAGCACTGTAACATTTGTGTGGCAAAGTAAGACATTGCCATTACTGATAAATGGCAATGTTTACATTTTGCCATAACCATGCCTCTAGTGGCTGTAAGAGTTACAGCCAGAAGAGACACTTATTTAAGACTTTCAATTATAAGGACGTCTCAGCATTTGGCAACATCACACACAGAATGATGCCGCCAAACTCTGAATGGACTCTGGTTCTCTATGAGAAAAATCTTATTAACAGCTTAGAGATTGTGATTAATGCCCAGTAGGTACCCAATGTTTCTCTATGATTGTTTCTCAACAATCATTCGTCCAGAGCTAGATAAAAGGGGAATTAAAAAAAATAAATAAATAATAATAAAAAAAAAAACAACAACAACTTTGTTCCGCTTTTTTTTTTTTTTGGGAGATAACTTAAATTTGCCAAGCAATGCACTATCATTAAAAAAACACATTTGTATGTTAGAGAGTTTATTCAAGGTAATTGTAAGCTCATGTGAAAAATTACTTTTTGGGGAACATTTTTGTACAAAAGAAGTGAGATGTATGGTGTTTGGGTTAAAATTAGTTGTACGAGCAGCTTGAAAAATGTCTGCAAAAGTCTTAGGTGTGAAGACTTTTGGATCAACAGCAAAAACATATGTGAGGAAGGCTGAACTTGATGGACACAAGTCTCTTTTCAGCTATGTAACTATATATGTAACTATGTAAAGACTGATGCAAACCGTGGGAAGAATGTAGAGATACATAGCATGCAGAATCATTTGTGGCTTTGCATTTTCAAACACATATTAGAAGGAACACTTTAGGCACTAGCGATTTCATATTATTGAATTGGAGTACCTTGGGTTCCCTGGTCTTTCCATTGATTGTTAAACTGTTATCGGGCACTTAACACTAAAAAGGGTCCATTTCCACAAACATTCAAGACCCTACTAAAGGTGTGGCTATGGCAGAGATAACACTTCGAGCCCTACTGATTCATACCTGCAATAGGCATTATGATAGGCTTATGTGGTAAGCTATCGCTCTCAGACATTCAGAGCTACACATTGCTTCCTCATTAGCCAGAGCAGAGAAGACTGGATTTGATGCTGTTGACGCATTTGTAACGAAGCCCCTATACTCCGGCTGAGTATATCCGCTTAAGAGTGTGATATTGCTCTAGTATCCCCAAGCATCAGCCAAAACTTGATGAAGGGTAAATTGGACTGGTTTATTCAGGCAAAATGTACCGCTATTTATACAAGGACCCCCAGCATGGGGACTCTATTTATTCAGTCCTAAGCCGGCCTCAGGCGTCTGGGAGATAATTGAGCTGATAACCGGTAAACTAATTATATCCCGGAAACAGAAGCTACACACAAATACCCCCAAAACAGCCCGAAAACAAAATGTTATCCCTAAAAGTCATATATCCCCTGAAAGAGGGGATCAGAGTGCCCGTTCTGTTAAAAAAGCGCTCTGTTCCAGGAGAAATTGTCCAAACGTCACTCGATTAACTTTTAGACTGACCGCTGTTAAAGGGACACTATAGTCACCAGAACAACTACAGCTTATTGAATTTGTTCTGGCGAGTAGAATCATTACATTCAAGCTTTTTGCTGTAAACACTGCCTTTTCAGAGAAAATACAGTGTTTACATTACAGCATATTAATAACTTCACTGGCCACTCATTAGATGGCTGTTAGAGATCCTGCCTGGGTCATTGCTGCCTAAAATGCATCCAAACATTCAGTGTCTCCTCCCTCTGCATGCAGACACTGAAGTTTCCTCAGAGATTCATTGATTCAATTCATCTCTATGAGGTGATGCTGATTGGCCAGGGCTGTGTTTGAATTATGCTCGCTCTGCCCCTGATCTACTTCCTTGTCAGTCTCAGCCAACCCTATCGGGAAGCACTGTTATTGGATCAGGCTACCACTTCTGATGATGTCAGCAGACAGCTTGTTTTTCTGAGGCAGACAGGGCAGAGCCAGCAGCTTCAGGCTTGAATACAGTAAGATTTGTACTATATTTATGGAGGCAGGAGAGGCCAAAGGGGGCTAGATGGTGGTTTTAACACTATAAGGTAAGGAATACATGTTTGTGTTCCTGACCCTATAGTGATCCTTTAAAGTTCTTCCCGAAAATATTTCCAGGTGGTCATAATACTGTTTAAGTTTTACTGCAAAAAAATGAACATATTTGTAATCAGTGATGTCTCACGAGTACAACAGTACCCCCAATTAACAGGTTTTATGGTGTTTTAGAAAGTTACAGGGTAAAATATAGAACGTTCCATTTACAAATTGAAATTTGCCAGAATAGTAATGTTACCTTTGAGACAGTGTGGTAGCCCAGGAATGAGAATTGCCCCCATAATGGCATACCATTTGAAAAAGTAGACAACCCAAGGTATTAAAAGTGGGGTATGTTTCGTCTTTTTTAGTAGCCCAGTCTTTCTTAGTATCCACTTAGTCACAAACACTGGCCAAAGTTAGCGTTCAATTTTGTTTTTGTGTGAAAAAAGCAAAAAACTAATATTTGGCCAGTGTTTGTGACTAAGTGGATACTAAGAAAGACTGGGCATACCCCACTTGCAATACCTTGGGTTGTCTACTTTTGCAAATGGTATGCCATCATGGGGGTAATTCTCATTCCTGGGCCACCATACGCTCTCAAAGGCAACATAACCAATCTGGCAAATTTCAATGTCAAAAAAATGAAATGCAAGCCTTATATGTGACTCTCTAACTTTCCAAAACACCATAAAACCTGTACATGGGGGGCTACTGTTATTCTCGGGAGACTTCACTAAACACAAATATTAGTGTTTTAAAACAGTAAAACATATTACAACAATAATATAGTCCATAAAAGTTCTGTTCGTTTGTAAAAAATGCAAAATACGTCACTTTTACTTAAAATATCATCGTTGTAATAAAATTTATCATTTTGAAACACTAATATTTGAGTTCACCGAAGTCTCCCGAGTAAAACAGTACCCCCTATGTACAGGTTTTATGGTGTCTTGTAGAGTTACAGGGTCAAATATAGTGCTTGCGAATTAAATTCTCTTCACTTTCTCCCTGTGTTGTCAGGCATGTCAATCAAATTTTAATTAATCAAATCACATAATTATGTTAAAAGATTACTTAAATATACACGTAGAATTTTAATATATATGCATTTATAGGTATTTAAATTCTACGTGTATACTAATGTAATCTTTTCTGTAAAACAAATATATATACTTGCGGTTATTTGTATTTTATATAGATAGATATATATAGAATGTCATTCTAAGTGTATTTTGTTACATATATATACACACACACATATATTAATAACAAAATACAGTTAGAATGAAATTACATATGTATATATAATTTATATTAAATTTTGATTCAATTTTTATTTATTATTGTAATTATACGTATATATATATAATATATGTGTATATATCTATTATATATAAGTAAAGTCATTCTAAGTGTATTACTATTATATGTACTTATATTATTAAAATACATTACGTATTTATTTTAAACATGTTTAATTTTTTTTTTCATTTCCCACTAGCAGGGGGACTGTCTGACATTTCAGACAGTGCCCCTGCTGGCAGATCCACAGCCAGCTATAGGGGGCCATGTGATCGCTCATTGAGACCGATCACATGGCCCTCGGGGGCCTCATTTGCCAGGGGAGGATCGCGGCAGAGGTAAGTCCACCGGACCTCCTGGGGCTCAAAGCCGTTACGGCGTTTTATGCCAACGCAACGGCTTTAAAGCCCTTTTAATGCGGGACCCCCATAGAACGCCGTAACGGCGTTAAGGGGTTAAAGGGACACTGTAGGCACTCAGACCACTTCAACTCATTGAAGTGGTCTGGGTGCCAACCTTTTTTTATAAACTGCAATATTTACCTTTCAGGGTCAAGCCCTCATCTGGTGGCTGTCTATGAGAGAACCACTGGTGGGACTTACGGCTTCTTAGACGACTTTTGGTCTTCTAAACGACGCTGGACGTCCTCACGCTATGCATGAGGATCTCCAGCGTCGCCAGAATATCCATAGGAAAGCATTGAATAATGCTTTCCTATGGGTAGGTGTAATGCATGCGCGCGGCTATTGACGCGCATTAGATCTCCCCTGCCGGCGGGCCTCACCCAGTGCCGAGGGATATCAGCGCTGGATTCCAGTAAGCGTCTGAAGGAGTTTTAACCCCTTCAGCAACGTGGGATGTGGGGCACTCCAGGATGCTCTATTGCCAGGAAAACGGGTTTGCTTTCTTGTTACTGTAGAATCCCTTCAAGTTGATTTGTTTTGATGCCTATAGTGTCCCTTTAAGATTGAGAATCACTGAATGTGGAATGTAAAGCAAACTAAAATACAAGATTATTTAGCATATAAAAAAAAAAAAAACACATACAACGTTTCAGTAATATAGTAATATGCCCATAATACATAAAGAACTATTTTATTCCACGTTTCCTCTGTGTTAAACTATACAATAAAAAGAAAACCTTGCGAAGACAATGAAATCTACAAAATAAATACTGTACCTAGTGATCTTACACTGAATTATATAGTGATGGGTTTATGTTTATTCACTGAAGATACTTTTAGATTTAACAAGATATAGCTATTAGTGGGCCTGAATGGCTTAATGGCTGGATATAAATCGAATTAACATGCCCTCATGCTGCCATGACCTTATAAGCCACACAAACACAGCTCTCTCCATCACCATCCGGCTACACTCGGCCAAATGACAGCTCAGTGTCACCAGGACCACCGTGCCCTGTTACCTGAGCTGCGACTCATTCGTTTTTCCCACCCTGGTGGGAGCTTCTCCTCATCCGCCATCTTGCCTCCTGCGTCAGGTCGGGAACCGCCTCTCAAGGCGAACGTTTTAGATCGGCGCTTTCTATTGGCTGAAGTCTGCCTAACTCGCAGCGGCAGCAATCCAACGCAGCGCGCGACATATTCAACTGGCAACGTCACTCGGCGACGCTCTGGGCAGCTAGTAAACGGCAATGAGGAGGGGGGGTGGGTATGCGCATTGTCAACCAGAGTGCGCATGCGCGAGGATTTCACCAAGCTGCTATGTGATCAAGGATGTTACTAGTTTTAAACAGAAAAGTAGGCATGTTTCCCTGGTGGTCTAGTGGTTAGGATTCGGCGCTCTCACCGCCGCGGCCCGGGTTCGATTCCCGGTCAGGGAACAAACATTTTTTTCTTTTTCACACATCCCTTACAATTAACAGCGAATACCAAGTGTTTACTCGCTAAATGGAGATTGAATAGTGAATTGAAAATTAAATAGTAGAAATCGCGGGGATATTTACTAAAACTGTTAACCGTGTATGCTATGGTGACAATACTGTAATTTTGTTTTACTGAAAACGTGCAACATTGTACAGCGCTACGGAATGTGATGACGCTATATAAATAATAAAATAATAATATCAATATCTTGTTTTGTTTTTTTTTCGAAATCCGATCTTTGTCGTCGACCATGCAATACTTGTAATGTTAAGCAGAATAAGTTGGCGCAACGGTAACAGAACTGGAAATTGCTATGAATAAATATTAAAAATAATGCAGCAATATACAAGGAGTTCTGATATACACAATCTCCAAAGAAATTTAAAATATAAAGTAAAAGATGAAAGTGCTCAAATCGATACGTTGAATGGCACTCAAGGGTGTAATTATAAACAAAGTGTATAAAACATGCACAATACCACCCAAGTAGATGCAGTAGTGTGTAACAATACAAATGTAGCCAGTGAATTACCAGCAGGTGTATCAAGGTACCATGGAGTTAGATAGAAAATATAACCAGTAAACATATACTTGCACTTGCATAGATCTTTCAAGGGCAGTCCGATCTAAAATATATAAAGACACAGACCTAGTGCAATAATGTTAACAGAAACTATAAAGGTAACTGGGGAAGTTACCACTCGAGACTATCAGGATCCAGGAGGATCAGCCCCTTGTGAACGTGGGATCCAGATTGTGGTTAGCTGTATAAACTCACTCTCTGCCTAAGTGTAGAAGTAAAAAGTATTTGTAGCTTAATTCAAAGTAGGTACCGCCAAATGTTTAAAGAGCATATAAAAGACTTCAGCAGACAACTTCACTCATGCTTAAGAAAGCCCTGGAGGGGGCGAAACGCGTAGCACATGCTGAAACCGAGAAGTAGCTGTACTGACAAGGAGAGTCTGTGACGAGCGAGGATACGAAGTGTGATAGAACTTCTACGGTTTATCCACGACCTATCTGGACTGAGTTTACTCTATTCTATACAGCAGCAGTGACTTATTTTATACTTACCTACTTTTGCCGGCGTTGACTCCACCCCCTTTGTAACATCATCGGAATGGCCGATTTTTTTGCCAATCCAATGCTTTTCATAGGAAAAGAATTGGATTGTCTAAAATTGGTAGGGGGGCGGGGCCAAATGCCATTTTGGCAATCAGGACCTCATCATAGAGATGGATTGAATCAATGCATCTCTATGAGGAAAATTCAGCGTCTCCATACAGAGCGTGAGGACGCTGAATGACAGGGCTGCCTACTGTGCAACCCTAAACCAGGAAGCCCCTCCAGTGGCCATCGAAGGAGTGGTCACTTGCAGGTGTTCCTAAGGGTAATGTAAACACTGCTTTCTCTGAAAAGGCAGTGTTTACATGAAAATGCATTAAGCTGTAGTTGTTCTGGTGACTATAGTGTCCCTTTAAAAAAAATGCAAACACTGCTCAATGCTAAATAATTTTTTTTTATTTTTTTTTTAATGTGTGGGTGTTTTTTACATTTAAAAATTGGGGGAGGGTGCCAAATATAACAGCCAGGCCAGGTGCCAAATGCTCCAGGTATGAGAAGCCTGTGACTGGCCCACGTAATGCCCCTGCGACGTGATTTCAGGGCGTGGAAGACCTGGAGCTTCACCTGGCGCTGTATTCAAGGTACGTAAAACTTTTTTTTTTTTATGTTTGATTGTAATAGGTGCAGGGGGTCCTTATGTATGTGTCTGTAATGGATACGATATACTCTGACTGAGTATATCCATTGGAAGGTTCTCCCTGTGGCGGACCACTCGTTAAGGGACCCGTGTGTAACCACCAAGGCTATACTTTCCCTTCTAAGTGTCCCATTCAGCGCAGTAGTCAGTGATTATAGCTCGCAGAATAGCTGTAGAGCATAGCAGTGTTACAGCCTTCTCCCCCCCCCTCCCTTCTCCCCCATACATTGGTCGAGCTTTAATGCTGGGAGAAGATCTGAGTTTATTAGGCACAGCACAGTCATTTACATACGGACCCCCAGCATGGGGTCCCTATTCATTGTACAAAGATCCTGACCTGGTGCCTCAGTGTCTGGGAGATAACCGAGTTTCCCTTCTCATTATAAATATGCTATTGTGTTAATCCTGTGTGCTTCCCCATATGAATTGGGTATTTGTATTAGATTAAGTTTGATGTACGTTTGATGTAATGAGAGCCACAAGTTCCTTTGTAAAGGCAGTAACTAGTCACAGTGGGGCAGAGGTGTGGATACCTTCCTCTGAAAGGAGCGGAAGAGGCAAAGTCAGAGGGTGTGATGAGCCACCCCACAAGACGTCTTACCCACAGCCAAAAAAAATGCTCTCTCTGGTGCTACCTATGTGGAGATATCCAGAGGAGAGAAACACAAGCCCCCTGGAGCTATAAGTCTGCTTCACAGCTTCGTCGCATGGAAGTCTGTGCTGGCCAATAGGAGAAGGGCTACCATTTAAACTGGGTTTGTGCACTTTCTCCCGATTGGCAGGCGAGACACATCCCCTCCCTGAGTGCCGATTGGCTGCCGCGTGGGTTAGGCGGGAAATTTTAATCACCGGATGAAACCAAGTGATTCAGTGGAACTATTTTTGGTGATGTACAGAGCTTCGAGCCCAATCTTTATATGACGATTTCACGGGCTCTGTACAACCGATAGCTCCGCTATTTGCAGGAATCGCAGCTGGGACCAGGAGCTATTTGGGGATATATAGGGGGATGAGTTACTGTATTGTGTGTATTTTTGTGGTTTTTGGTGTGTTCAGCTTTCTGTTCCAGGAGATACCATTATCTCGCAAACACAGCGGCGCCTGGGCAGGCGTATGTTTTCGTGTTACTTTGAATGGAGACCCCCTGCTGGGGGTCTGTGCATTAATACCGTGTATCTTTCCTGCAATAAACAGTTCTTCACCCTTCACTAAGTCTCGGCTAGTGTGTAGGTGATACCACTATTGCCTTTCTGCAAGGGTCTATAATCACTGGCTAGCAGCTATAATCACTCTAGGGCTGGGCCCAACTAGGAATGGGCTACCACAGGCGGTAATAACCCATCTTTGAGAGAGTATACCGCCACAGAGGGGATGATAGCATTTTTCAGGGGGCGGCAAAAAACGCCGCCCCCAAATGCCCAGGGCAAATGCCTAGTTAGCCTCGTGGCTAACAGCAAGGTGGAAGAAGTTCTCAGTAACCCCAGTCAAGCTTCAGCATTAAAGGGTCCTTAAAAGCAGCTAGGAAGCGGTCCTGGCAGAGTACTAAGTCACATAGTCAAACTTTAAAGTGTGTCATGGGATCGTATACCAACTTACAGGAAATGCTGAATCTCACAGAGAAAGGTACAACATATATGTATTAACAAGCCTTAGAGTGGCCGGACTTAATGTAAGAAAGATAAAGAAAAAGTCAGTAATAACCATGGTCAGGATTATAGAAATACGGATAAAAGAATAAACAAGCTGGGTCAGGATACCAGTAATACACAAAGTCAAATGCAAGCCAAGGTCAATATCCGGATATCAAGATATACTTACTATAAGCACCAAACTTGTATCTGAACAGAAACCATGAATGAGCACTGAATAAGGGCTTTAATGATCATTATATAGTCTTACATATGTTTTGATTGGTCCATGTCATCTCTATGACTTCAAAACGTATACTAATGGGGTTGGCTAGATGACATGGTCACTTTAAGGGCAGGTGTGAAGTCACATCATTTAAACTACATAAGTACGAGCCATTCAAACAGACAGGGTCCAACTAAATTCAGTGAAGTAGCAGCGTCTGTTGAATTTGACCCACACAGACCCGGAGGAGTGGTTTGCCAGCACCAAATTGATAAGTATATACTGTTCACTTAGCCCAACCTCTGAAAAACATCCATTATCCCTCCTGCACCAAACATTACAGTTGGCACAATGCAGTCGGACAGGTAGGGTTCACCTGGTATCCACCAAAATCAGACTCACCCATCAGACTGCCAAACAGAGAAGCGTAATTTGTCACTTCACACAACACCTTTTCACTGCTCCAAAGTTACACCACTCGATCTGGGACATGATATTGTACTTGGTGATGTGAAGGCCATGGAAAACCATTTCATGAAGCTCCTATCGCACTGTTTTTGTGCTGATATTAATAACAGTGGAAATCTGTAAATCTTCAGCTATGGAATCAGCAGTCCATTTTTAGGCACCATATGCCTCAGCACTCAGTGACCTTGCACTGTGACTTTAACCCCTTAAGGACGGAGCCAAATGTACACATTGTGAACAAAACAAAATGTAAACAAAACCTGGCATTTGCGCTACATGTCTGTCCAACCGTAATACACCTCTTTCATAGTAAATGCACCCACCCTTATTATATATCATTTTATTCAGGGGAAACAGGGCTTTCATTTAATATCAAATATTTAGCTATGAAACATAATTTAATATGAAAAAAATGGGAGAAAATACGATTTTTTTGATTTTTTTAGTTCTAAATTGCATTTTAAAGGTCAGTGTCATAATACTCTTTGATTTTACTGCAATAAAATACACATATTTGTATTTAGTAAAGTCTCACGTGTAAGACAGTACCCCCTATGTACAGGTTTTATGGCGTTTTGGGAAGTTACAGGGTCAAATATAGCACGTTACATTTGAAATTGAAATTCGCCAGATTGGTTAC